GAATAACCAGGAACTATAAATATAATACAAACAGAAATCCATAATTCAGAGTAGTACAGCTTAAACCAAAAACACAAACACTGGGTCAGCAGACCCAGTGCCGTGAAAATTTAATGTTATTAAATTATTTTAAAAAGCCAGTCACAGATTCTAATCCTTATCTAACTCTGTTAAACAGAAAAACTGTTAAAAGGAACAACTTACCCTACAATCGCTGGATGTATTTTGGGAAGCCAGCTCTTAAAGTCAAATTGCAGACTGGAGTAAAACACTATGCACCTCCATCTCTACTTGTGCAAAAGAGCAAATCCAAATTGCCACTGTGACAGCCGACAGTGTTTCAGCGCATTTCCACCGGGATACTTTTGTTATGTTATTGTGTTGGTATTGTGACATATCAGAAAAAACTTCCAGTTACGTTATTTTGCAGGTGTTTATTTGACGAACGGTCATTTGGTACTAGCAACCCAAAGTGTGCCAAAAAATATCCCCCACACCTTTACACCATCAACACTACACCGAACTGTTGATACAAGGCAGTTGGATTTATACTTTCATGTTCTTTATGAACTTTAATGTTACATCAGAACAGTTTCCTGCTCTTATCTGACAGAGTGGCACCCGGTGTGGTCTTCTGCTGCTGTAGCTCATCTGCTTCAATGTTTAACATGTTGCCCATTCAGAGATGCTCTTCTTCAGACCTTATATCTAACAAGTGCTTAATTAAGTTTCAAAAGCATTTCCTGCCAAATCCCTCAGAAGTTGTTTGACTCATGTGTATTGTAACTTCACTCTACCTGTATAGAGCTGTAGTGTCTTGATGCACATGCTCCCAGCACTGCTGCTCCCACTAGCACAGCTTCAGTTTGGTCTGGCAACACTACAGGCAACCCTGAGAATGAGATTGAAGACATGGAATGGGCTAAAGCTATCACAGAACTTATTTTACCTTTTCCTCTCTCCAGGTCCTCTCTGCCTGAATGTTCTTCAATGTCTTCCTGCATCATATTCCTACTATATATTAATTATTTTTCGTTGTTGATTGTCTGTATTCTAAATTTACTTCAGTTACATGTAGGTCCATCCAACGAGTAACTTCTTCTGTCTTGTTGAGCTGTGCTGTTAAAAAAGACTTTGGGGGACTCTTTAAACTTCAAAGTTGGCTACTGGAAGCTGCACAGAATTAAGATTTTCTTCTTAATCTTTATTTTGTGGTTAAGTTATTGAAATACTAATACAAACATTCTTTCTTACTCTCAATAAATTATAAATGTACATACTGTACAACTGTGTTTCAAAATATACATATAACCATGTTATTGGTATTTACTACCTGTAGTATTAGCATGAATCTGTACAAACAGGTTGTTTTTGCTCAATCCACCACACAGGAAGAGGGTTCTGATTTCATGCCCTGCTTCTTTCATGGCCTCCAGAATATGAAGTGTACCGAGCTGAAACCAGAGGAGGACACACAACAGGAATAAAGTTACAAGAAAGCAAATACAACCTCCTTTGTA